CAAATACGCCCGGAATTGCGTGAGATAATACGATCCGACTAAATTTCTTTTTTTGTTGCATTATTTATGATCGCCAGTGTAAATTTTGAAATTATAATAACGGTTTTTAATATATTGATCCTGATACGTAGTCATGATTAATGTGTGTCTGGTTAAGCTTAATTAAAAAGAATTTAAACTTAAATAAATTAGAGATTGGGTTGTTGAGAAAATCTCTAGCCGGGTACTATTAAATTACCCAGATTATCCGGGTAAATTATTATGTATTTCGGGTAATCATAAAGCAACAATTTCTACCCGAGTCCAATCCATAATATAAACAATCTTTATTAACCAAATCGGTTACTAATTAATACATAGCAAGATAAATAATGAATACATAGCATTAACGAATTAAAAAAATTGCAGCTATCAATAAGTAATACATCAAGAGTATGAACTGTATAAAGAAAAATAACCACTAACTATAAAAGATGTAACATAATCATACACATCCTACGCATACACTATGGGCGTTCGGAGAATAAATTTTACTCAGCGAAAAATATTTTAAGGAGGTCAAATGTGTTTAACATCGTAATGAATATTTAAATTAACATTGTAATTTAATAAAATTTTTTTACGTAATTAATCTATTTTTATTAATAAAAAAATAATACGTGAGTTTATCATTTTAATTTATAAACATTTTACGGCAGACCACCTTTTTTTTTTATCCCTGGCTTGGCAAATTTTACAATCAATTGAGTTTTCAAAGAGATCGCACAGGTAACTTATCAGTAACCTTATCATGCAACGACCGAATATCAACGAAATAAACGTAGTGATAACAACATTTAATAAAATATTAATGAGTCGCTCAAACATCAATTGCAATTCTTATTTTGATTGATTATAGTAAATAAGCATCATCACCTTTATTAGCTAATCGCATGGAGAATAACGTTTGTGCAAACTTTGATTACTTCTAAATTCCTTTCATCATCATAATTTTACGTAAATAGAATTATAGTTGTGATCGAATAACCTATGTCTATAAAAAATGTAAAAAAAAAACACCTGTAAGTATTGTTGTTTGAACCACTATTTTAAGGTATAAATTATCTTGTCAATTGCTGAATTACTTTAACCTCAAAGACAAAAAGTACATCCCATTGATAACTTCTGGATAAGTCGGCTTGAGCCAGTTTAGCCTTAAAACCATAGTCAAGCCAGCTAACTTATGAAGTTGGTTTAACCATTAAGCTGACTTGAACCAGATGATTCCATCTCTAATTGTGTATAGCAAATGTAGACATCAGGCTTTAAATTTAAAATTGGGTTCAGCAAACCAGGTTGATTTTATTTTGATGCGCCAATGCAGCCATACTTGCAAGGAACCTTTTTATGATAAATGCCATAACAGAGTAATAAACTTTTTAAATATTTATTACAGTATAGGAACATAGTAAACCATTTCTATAAAAAACTTTTTAAAAATTTTTACTACAAGAATTGTTAGTCCATTATACAAACTTAACTGTATAATTTCATATTTCGACAAAAATAAAGGAGGTTCATATTTAGAACTACAACGCATTTATTCTATATTGGGGCATTGATTGTGTGCATTTAATAATGCCAATTCGGGTTTGGTTCAGAGATGCTCCATTGAGGGAGTCTCTAATATTCAAAGGGTGGGAACTAAAATCATGGTCGTGGTAAATGTGTATAAAATACTCATTGTTAATCATAGCTCTGACATCATAATTAGTCATAATGCTTGTAAGATTATAATCGTAGTAACAAAGTCCCAATGTAATCTATTTCATGTAACTAAGTGTGTAGATAAGTAAATAAGAACCATGATTAATAAAGACTATTTTACTCTGAGATCCTAATGATAGTAGGACTCATGGTTCTCGGACCAAACTTTCCACGCGCTCTTTCATTTTTGGTGTTTTTTTTTTGACGATGAAACATATCTTTTAGACTTAGTACCGTTTTTCACCGTCACAATATTATTTCAAATATATCTTTTTTAGACCTTCAAATGATGTTTTTCTGCATCAAAACCGATAATTTAAAAAAAGAACCGTGTTATACAAATTTAATAAATAATTTAGATACGGTCACAATTAATGGCAACGTAATTTTATATTTGAATTATGCAGCCGTAGAAGCCCATTTCGGCTCTGCCAAAAATATTTCGACAACGATTTTTGGTAGAAACAGAGCCGCAAGCCATAATTCATGCCATAACACAAAGCCGAAAACTAAACCCATAATTAGTGGCATAACCTAAATTAAAAGCCGAATTTAAATATATAGAAGGTATGTATAGTAAAGACTAATTACGGCTTGCCGAAAATATTTTATTATCAATTTTTAGTAGAAACAGATTCACAACTGTTATAACTTAAAGCTGAAACAAAAATTTATATGAATATCATAATTTATATTAAAGTTGCAATTTAAATTTTATGAATTGCTAGCTAGGATTACATACATGTATTTTATGTATACATATATATATATAAACACATAAATTTTTTAGTAAATTAAACTTATTTATAACTATTATATTGATTTATATATTTATGAAGAAATGCTCAAATATCAAAGTCTATATTGCCATGATTCTCTTTAATATTACCTTTGACAAATTCAGAATTAACACACTATTAAGCATTAGAGGTTTATTATAAAATTCGGTGAACCTAAATCCATTATATTACAATTAATAATGATTCACTCTCAATTGGAATATCATTACGTTATTTTCTTCTAACATATGCAGCTCTTATTCAATTTTATCTACTATGACAATATTATTTTTATCATCATCTTTTAATTTCATTGATACTGTTGTGTCTAATATTTTTTTGGCATAATTTATCTATTTCAATATTTGCTGCTGTATATTTAAGTTCTTTATTAGCATTTGAAATATAATAAGCATATATTTTTGCTATATTTCAAGGTTTGCAAGGTTTAAATAATTTTTATACCATAATTATAGTAATGATAAAATTTTGATATTCGTATAAAAAGGTTGTCTAAAAATTGTAGTATTTAAATTAATTACTAATTGACTTGTAATTAAAAATCCAATAATGCATATAAAATATTACAAAATTTAAAATAACCTTCATATTAGAAAGATTTCTAAAGTAAAGTAGATTTTTATAAAATATGTTTTTGAATTAACTTTAAGATTGAAGTTATTTTAGATTGGGTCAGATTAGATTTTAGATAACTATACATATGCAAAATTGTCTTTTTAATATTTTTTTAACCTATTCAAGGTTGATTTAAACTATTCTTTTTTGTATATTTCAGATTTTTTACTTTTCTTTCTTGTTTTGTTTTTGGCAATTATCAAAATTTTTTAATTTAATTAAATTAAATATTATGCAATTTTGCTTTACTTTATATAATCTTTATATTAAGAAATCTTGCAAAATAATTAGTAAGTTACCTTCTTTGGTTATAAACCCACCCCAAAATACTGAAATTTTTTTTTATATTTAGCATTATGTAGTATTATAATAAGATCTTTTAATGTTAAATACGTTAAATAATTAGGTTTATTAGTATAACTTTGTTATTAATTAATATCATGAGGATCAGTATTAAAGTTTGTTTGATGATACTGTTCTGAGAATGATCAGTTTGTAACTTTTGTCAATTTTATTTTTATTGTACAGAAGCTGGCTGAAATTTAATTAATATTTTACCATGAAATCGTGAGGTATTTGTATACTGATAAAGATAAATAAGTCTTTTATAATTGTTAATAAAATTTTCTGACACAATCTTTATTTGTGAATTCTTCATTGCACCTTAATCGATTTACTTTATAAATATTTAATATTTAAATTATCTTCTGTTTTAATATTATTTTTATTGCTGCATTGTACATAAAATATTATTCATTACACTTTTTCGGGTTGAATCTTTTTTTTTTAACAACGAATTTGATATTTAATAATTAATCTAGACTGACCTGTCCCAGGTTTTGTAGGTGAGAATTGGAGACTCGTGACGTAATCCTAATTACTGAATCATGAACTCAAATTACTACGACTAAGTTTTTCCACTACCTGATCAAAGCCTTTCATGATTATTGGTTTAGAGTAATAAATTTGGTTATTACTGTTGGGTGAACCTTACCACGGCCCAAATCCACTCTTGCAAAAGGCGAAATGACTTCTAGGATATGCTTATGTCAAATATGGATGACACGGAATAACACTACAAATACCAATAATTGTAGGCTTCGATTGAAGCATGGCTAGAATTGGTCCGAGTAATTAAGACCAATCAATTAAAACTCTATATTAGATTAATAATATTTGATATGAAGTCTCGAATTATGTGGTTATTTAATTGACTCTTTGTACGGGAAATTTAAAGTAAATTATGGTCGCTTTTTTTTTTTTTACATGTATAAACTTTTATGGCGAGTTTTTAAAATAAAAAATTTAGTTAGATGAAACCAATCATTTCATTATAAAAGAGGTTATTTTTATTAATTGAAATCATAAAATTTAATAAACTTATTTACAATTATTGACCAAAAAAATCGAATCAAAAATTTAAAAACATTTGATACATTAAAAAAACAACTTTTTCTAAAACCACATTGATTATTTATTAAAGAGCATATGAAAAATAAAAACAAATGAATTAAAAATTGAAAATGAAAAAAAATAAACATTTTAATATCAAAAAAAAAAAATGTGGGCTTATAAACAGTACAGTACAGTATTCAAGCGGGGCAAAGAGCAAAAGGGTGTTTTTTTTTTGGTGGACAACAGGAAGGGCTACATATTCACAAAAAAGGGCTAAAAAAGAACTGATGATTGTAAAAAGATGATGGCTATATACATTTTTTTTTTGTTTTTTTTGCGTTTTTACAAAATGAAAAATGAAAAATGAAATAAAAAAATTCTATGTAAAATGGAAATGAAAATGAAAAATGAAAAATGCAAAAAATTATTTACATTTTTTGGACTTTAAAGTGTAACAATTAAATAAAGTCCGACTTGATTATGACCCAATTTCTGGCAAAAAGAAAAATGAAATTAGTAACAATTTAAATTAGAATTTTTAAAAAAAGATTGAACAGAAATATTACAATTTCATGTGATTAAAAAGTTGCATACGATGAACTGGTTTACGAGCGACCACGTTTTTCTAAAAAAGAACCAAGTTAAAAAAAGATTGAACAGAAATATTACAATTTCATGTGATTAAAAAGTTGCATACGATTAGCTGGTTTAGGAGCACGTTTAGCTAATAAATTGGAGAAAAAGGGCATTAGAAAAAAGGTTGAACCAAAAAAAAAATCCAAAAATTCTTTGTTAAAAATTTGTATACCGGGGTGTGGCATGGCGCTTCGCTTGTAAGTTTTGTAGTAGTCATCGTAGTCATAGTAGTCGGAGTAGTCGGAGTAGTAGTAGTACTCGTCGTCGTAGTAGTAGTACTCGTCGTCGTAGTAGTAGTCGTCGTAGTAGTAGTCGTCTTCGTAGTAGTAGTCGTCATAGTCAGAGTAGTAGTAGTCTTCGTAGTAGTAGTCGTCTTCATAGTAGTCGTACGCGTCACGCTTTTCTGGAGAAGAAGAAACACAGATTAATAACAATTAATTAAATAAAAACCAATCGAGGGGATAAAAATTACGTACTTAAATCACGTTTTTCTAATTAATAATAAGAATACATTTTAGTAATTAAGAATTCAAATAACAATTATGAAATAAAAGAAATCCATACGTTTAGGAGCACGCTTATCTATTAAATAATATAAAAATTAATCTTTAATCTGACTGAATCAAATTTAATATTGCAAAAAGAATGATAAAAATTACATACGTTGCATGGCATTACGCTTTTCTAGAGAAACGGAGAAAGAAAAATTATTGAATGTTTAATAAAGTCTCAGCAAGAAGGAAAGAAGAAATTTATATACCCTTTTCAGGTGCAGCGACACGTTTTTCTAATAATGTTGATGAAAATTGGATTAAATTAAAACTAGCAAGACATTAGTAACAAAAGTTTCAAAAAATTAAAAATTATGAACCATTGGGAGTAGGTTTGGCGACTGCTACAGCAGCCAAGAAGAGAACAGTTACTAAGGAAATGAATTTCATTTTTATTGTATTGGGGGGTTTTTTTTTTTTGTCGATTTAATAGTTTTTGATTTATTTTGATTTGAGAGAAGTGAAGATCGAGGGGATTTATATACTTTTTCGCGGTCATAAATTTTGATATAAGTCTTTAAGACATCTATTTAATTCGATAATAATCTCTAAGAGTTTTCTCTAAAGAATTTTCCTCTAAAGAACTTTCTAACATACATTCAAATCACAGCCTCGCTTCATTGTAAAAAGTCAAAAAATTCTAATACAATCATCAAGGAATGAATTACGACAATGATTCAATACTTCTATAAAAATTAATTTCCGAATTGGCTTAGCAGATTTGTAAATTGATAAATATTCCGAGATCTAAAATTTCCTTAAATAGAAATTTGATATTAATGCAAGGTTCAGCAATTTCTTTTTTTATAATTAAATGTGCTTAACGTTAAGAAAGGAAAATTCATTAAAACGATATTTCAGGTTTTTATTAAGATTACTGATATTGTTGACAATGAATTAATTTTTTTGATCACGCATGTGTGGCTATGGGTTACATATAGAGCACGCGCAGGATTTTTTTAGACCAGCGCAGGATTTTTTTAGACCAGCGCAGGATTTTTTTAGACCAACGCAGGATTTTTTTAGACCAACGCAGGATTTTTTTAGACCAGCACAGGATTTTTTTTAGACCAGCGCAGGATTTTTTTAGACCAGCGCAGGATTTTTTTAGACCAGCGCAGGATTTTTTTAGAGCCCGCGTTGAATTTTTAATATGACCCTAAGATAAAATTATCTGGCCAGCACTACTATATCATCTGGCTAGCATTAATATATTTAGCTAATTTCTAATTAGAATTTATTAATTTATTTGCATACCGTTTCACATATGTAATAAAGATTTACATTTTTTGCCCTTAGTATCTTTTGCCTACGTATCAAAAATTTCTTTGTTATAATAAATAAATATAAATATTATCAAGTTATTCTTCTCAAAAATAAATATAACATGAATGGTAATCATGATATTTAGAATCATTTAACAAAAATTAGACCGGATGAAAACTTTAAGCAATGACGTGCTCAATGTAATTACTGCAATTAAACCTTGCCGCATAAAAAATGTATGGGCAGATAAAAATAAAAGATAATAATTCATGAAGTTTGATCCAATCATTTATGTGACGTTGAGAAATTGCCGGTATAAACCATTAAAAATATAATAAAATTGAATTGAATGAATTGTATGATTGGTTGATTGTTTTCTGAGTTATGAATTGCTTATGAAACCATCATGAAACCGTTTATGAAAACATGATTAAATTAAATATTTTATTTGTATTTGATTGGTTAATTGTATACTTGTTTATTAATATTTTGATATAGTGACGCTGCACAATATATTTTTATTATTCGGAGTGGTTATGAATTCTATTGTATCACTTAATTTTTAATGATCACAATATTCCCGTCAATAATTTTCGCCCATACGATACGTGAAAATTCACTATTTGGTCAACGATCAAAAATTTAAGCAAAAGTTTACTAATGAAATCGTGGCCGCTCATTAAGTGAAAATTGGGGTTGAAACGTACCGTAATTTGTAAGAAACGTGAACATTCTTGAATTTCAATAATGCTAGCTAAATTTTTCGTAGTGCTGGCACTATATATCACGTTACTAAAACTTATGTGTATTGTAAATTTGTAAAATGAAATTTCAACCCTAGGTGAAATATTTTCCCGAAAGAACGCAATACCAACTAAATTATAACTAATTATAGTATAGTATAGGTGAGCAGATCAGTATGGTACGTATAGATTCTAAAATTCGACCTACTTACTATACTGGTCTGCGAAAATACATATTAATTATTGATTAAAAGTAGAACAGACATAAAATAATTTTATCATGGGTTTATTTTCTTTAGAAATCAATATATACGGTGATAGTAATGTAACCCAAATGCATTCATGGTTATTTTTTAAAAACCGGTTATGGGCTGTTCTCATTCAAGATATGTCGATCAAAAATTTAGACATACAAATCCCGTTGACGAAGTCGCATGTGAAAAGTCAAATCTGCTCTCACGCCCTTACACAATGCAATATAATGTCCAATCAATTGCAAGATTTATTACTCCGTTCCTGGTATAAGTATAATTTTGGGTTTGTATTACACGCACAAATACAGAAATAAGTACAAACATTTGTCTTTTGGGTTGTTACACAAAATGGTTGTTATTTTATTGGTTCCGACCTGTATGGAGAAATCCGGATTTGCGAGACACAATAGTATCTGTGATCCTGTAAATAACCAATAAATTACCGACTGTTCCTTTTTTGATATTGTAAATCCTATGATCAACAAGCGTAACCATGATTGGATTAATTCAAAGTTTTGTTTGTTACTTTTAAGTCGGAAAATTTATATGCGCATCTCATTAAAAACCTTAAAAAACCGTCATGTTTTCCTGCATACAAAAGATTTGCCATCTTAAAGTCAATGGCACTAATGCACTTGTAATAATTTCTTGTTTGGGATATTCCGATATGAAACAATAAATCAACATGTATGCAAATAAACTAATGATTTAGGATGCATAATAACCATGCATGCATATTATTACGAGAGGAATTGCTAAATCTTTAACATGCTAAAAATTTAGATTCCCTCGCGTAGCATGGTAATTATAGAGTTCTCAGTTGTAGCGTTGATTTAGTCGAGTAGGATAAGTATTCCTTTCTTATTCTTTTATTCTTAATTGTAATTTTTTCTTAACATTGTAATATTTTCGCAATGGATTTCTCTTCGACTCGAAGGAATTAAATTTTATCCATTCAAATAGTCTGATAGACAGGATAATTAAATTCATATTATCAATTGCATGAAGATAACCTGATACAGTTTAATTAGTAAAACTTGAATTGTACAAATAAATTGAATTACAAAACTGATTTACTGATTTTAGAAAAGAGGTGTGATTTGTGTTAATCAAAAGTGAATTAAAAACGAATCATTAAACCATATTAAAAACGAAACATTAAACCGAATTAACACGAATTAAAAACAAATTAAAAACGAATTAAAAACGAAACATTAAACGAATTAAAAACGAAACACTAAACCAAATTCAAAACGAATTAAAACTCAAGGTTTTTTAAAATACAACTTTCTCCTTACAAAAAGAGTAATTTAAATGCATATACATATTTTATTAATGTCAGGAATGTTGCATAAATCACTAAGAAATATTTTATGCTATTATTATTAATGTTGCGATAGATTACGATCAGGGTTGGCAATAGAGTTCAATGGAACTCAATTAAGCTGCGAATGGGAATCAATTGATACTAGTTTTTTGGGCTCCATTGGAACCACTACCAACTTGAATTGCATATTACAAATTTTATCAATCCGAAAAAAATAATTTAATAAAAAAATGGTTTATTAATGAAAGCAGAGTTGCAAATCTTGGATCATCATCATACATTAACATGTATGTACGTACGTACGTACGTACATAATAAGCATGTTTACTAATACGACTAATACGTGACTAATGCATTATCTAATACAAGGTTAAGATTGCTCTTACCAAACCGAACGTCCATTGTCATATCAACCTAGTTGATACGTAGTTAACTTACAATTGTACTATGCATACACCTTATTTTGGAATGATTTCTTCATAAGATATTTAACGGGTTAGAATTAAACTTTGCCTATTTTAGTAAAGTTTCTTTTTGAAACCAATGGCCCTTGATAAAAAAAACTTTTTTATGTAAGCAATTACTGTTAATTATATACTGTATTTGACTATCAGATATAGATCTGACGCTTTAAAGACATTAAGTATAAATATACTCAAGTGCTCATCAGCTCTAAATTATCGGATGAACGTTTTTTTTTTTATTCGCTATCCACACCAAGTTAAGCTTCTTAAAAATTGACAATAAATAGAAATCTTCTCCAATCTTTTAAAAACATATCTAACTAAATTACATTAAGTCTAGTAATAAATATCGATTTATTATGTTGTCATCTAAATATTTAAAAAATTTCTTGATTGTTTTCTTATTGAATCTGGTATTCGAAAAGTTTGTGAATGCAGAAGATGTATATGTTGACCTTTACGAGGGTAAGTTACATTTTATCAATTACTTTATTTACACATTTTATCAATTGTATTTTGTCTATTACTTCATTCACATCTTATCATTTACATTTTGCCAATTACTTCATTTCAATTACTTCATTTACATTTTGTCTATTACTTCATTTCAATTACTTCATTTACATTCTATCATTCACATTTTGTCAATTACTTCATTTCAGTTACTTCATTTACATTATGTCAATTACTTCGTTTACATTAATATTTACGCATCATTTACACATTCTAATAATTATAATAGCTGACCGGGACGGATTTTTAAGTGTAGTCATCACCGCACATATCTGCATGCTTTTCAACTTGATTGGGGTGTTATTTGTGCTTATTAGAATCTACCTTAGATGGTCGAATAAACGTAAATCTTTGTCAATGGCTCTTAGAGTTCCCTTTTATTTGAGCATGTTGGGTATGTATTTCTTGAAATTTTCAACTGTTACCTATTTGAGTACCTGTTTGAGTGCTTTCAAAATGATGTGTACAGATATAGATTATGTAAATTGCTTTCCAAATTTTCTGATTCCTATTCACATCTTTTGAATAAAATTGTAAAGTCTGGCGTCCCATAAATTATATAATACTTAATTAAGCTTAGGTGCTAGTCTTTATACGGTCCAACTTATAATTCTCTTATTATTGTTTATTATTGCTTATTATCAAATATTTAAATATTTTTTAGATCTTATTTTCTTAATTCTCCAGGCTATCTCCTATGTAAGTTATAGATATAAATTTTAATGCTGAATAAAATTATATATAAATAGTAAACTTAACTTTTTAAAATTTTAATTAGGTAAATCTTGCAATACAACATTCTCCATTACTTAATTCAGCCTGTAAAACCCATGCAACTATCACTGTTGCTTTTACTCTTTTTCATAGGCTAGCTATCGCTGGAATTTCTATCATTACATATCTCAGGTAAAGACATATTTAATAAATGTTATAAAAGTCTATAAGTCTATAAAATTTTTTAACCCTAATTTGCTTCTAAATCGTTTTAGAGTATGTAAACAAAAAGCTTGTAACACTGGTAGATACGATTGGAAATTATTTTTACCTGTGGCTATCATCTCAGTGTTTCTTTCTATCATTAGTTTCAATACTTATGGTCCTGTTGTATATTGGTATGAATATTACTTCTTTTTATTGCTTTAATCTTTCTATTATGAATTATTAATATTAAATTTAAAAATCTCTATCATTAATAGGTGCGCTGCAATACCAAATACAATAGCCATACCGATATTTTCTATTTTTATGACTGTCATTGTACTCTCTATATGCTCATTCTGTTACATTCGAACTATTCAAGCAATACGTTCCGTTAAAAAACAACAATCTGAAATTGTTGAAAGTAGTGGTGTAATTAAGAAAAGAGTTACTTTAAAGGCTCCTATAGATAGTGTTGAAATGAAAGTTTCTATAAAAGTTATGGGTTATATACTTGTTTTTATGTTACAATGGGTATGTCATTTTTATTTTTTTTTCTTTTTTAATTTATTTTAATATTTTTATTCTTTATTATGATATTAATCTTAATATTTACTTTATGATCTCTTAAGGTTCCTGCAATACCCTATGATATATATCAATTCTATGGACGTGCTGCCCCTTGGGTTTATTGCATGGTTCTTATATCTGTTAATTCAGGTGTAAGTAATTTCTATTCATCTTTTAATTCATAATGTTTCTAATTTATTCATATTCTCTATTTATTTACTGTTATTATTTTTCATTTCATAGAGCGTTGGAAATGCTATATTTTATGTAATAAATGAAGGTTGGAGCCGTTATGGCAGTGAGCTTTCTTCCTCATCTCAAGGCCAATTCAATGATACTAGTAAAAATTCTGCTGCAACCCTCAATCAAAGTAATACTTATGTTAAATCGATTGATGTTGAAAATGGAACTTCTGATATTAAAGAAATTGATTTTTAGTTACAACTATTCAATAGTTTTGCTACAGATCTTAATATCTTACCCGGTTATTAAAAACATATAAAAATTTTTCAAAATTTGACTCGGCCGGGTTATGAAATTCAATTTCATAGCGTTATATTAATTTGGAACAATCTTATATTTTTAAATACAATCTTATGAATATGGTAAATACAATTTATACAATAATATAACATAGTAAAAGTTGGATTGAATTTTATTTTTAGTTATTTTAAGCTTTAAAATAATAGTCTTGGTTCTTATGGAATAGTTTGTTTTATATCTTAATTTGTGTTCCAAACAAATTTGCTTGGAAAATTAAATTGTATTTAGTATTTTTTAATAATATAAAGAAATATATTTTATTTATAAAATATTTTATTAAACTATATTTTATAAACCTTATTAAAAACTTAAATGATGAAAATTTAAGGTTTTGTTTATAATAATGAAAGTTGTTATTTTATATATTAGTTTTAATATTTATATTAAAAATTATAAATTTAAGATTAATACGTATTTTTAAAAGATTAAATTTATAACCGTATATTACATAATTTAAAAATCTGCTAATCAACAAACGGATTTAATTTGCATAGTACCAATTATAATTTGAAGCCCGGTACAAGTTTTTCCTGGTGGCACTTATATTATGCATATTACGCATACTTAATATCATCATTCCCTAAACACTCTAAGCACTGTATATAGCGCGTAACCAATCACAATGCGTTACTATAGTATGATGTAATAAAATAAAATACATATACATATAAAGAAAAAAACAGTTTATTATTTTACCAACCAAAAAAAAAGTGAAAATTCAGTTGAAAAATCGAAAACTAAATCATAGTAGCGCTTTATCATATAACCATTGATATGTTAGCTTATTCAATTTACAAAGTCATTTAATTGAAAAGTTATAGACTAAATCGTAATAGTACATATAAATTCATTTGTGAAAAGAAACATAAGCTAAGCAAGATACAAAAAACATTAGTCCAGTAGAAAGAGTTTTAAATTAGATTGTACATTTCAGTAGTATTAATATCATTTTATATTGCAATGGCACCAGATATCAGTAATGAAGGTACCCAAATTTTGTTTAACAATCTGATTATTGAGTAAATATTATATGATAATTTATTATATCAAAAGTTAGAATCATTTATTATGTATTTTTTTTACAAGCATTTAAGATTAATTGTAAGATAGTTTAAAAGTTGATATACTTCGATTATATATTAAATTAAAGATGAAAAGAAATTAATATTATTTTATATTTAATATTTCTTAATTGAAATTAACTTAAGTAGTATATTAAATTATATGCAATTTGTATCAATTGTTGTTGATTCTAAATATAATAAAGATACTGCTATATATGTAAACATCAAGATATATGTTATTTAAAGAAGACAGTTATCTTTGAAAAAATAAAACAATTCTATATAAAATGATTAAAATGTAAATAGTTAATTAATATAATCTGTTTTAAAATTACTAGAATAATCTAAATTATATTATATTATTTTAAATATACTAATTATAAGATCCATTTTGATATTATTATTTTTGCTTTTTATGATTACTAATTCTTTAATAAAATAAGATAAGGCATTAAAAATTCTATTTTAAAAAAAATTAAATATAAGAACTTAATTTGTTTTATTTAAAAATAAATATTTTAATACTTTTTTTTATTAAAAGTTTTATCTATTTTTTTTTAAATATTAAGATGAGTTTTGTAACTCAAAATTTTATTAATAGTACATTCAGCTAATGGTTGTATTATAACTATAAAAGGCAACTATAAAAAGAGTGTACAACTAGCACTTGTACAACTTTAGTTATTGTTTAATTTGAGTAGTTTGCCTAAAGGTTTTATACTAGTTGCCATATCTGAAACTTGCTTATAAGTTTTCTATTTAAACACTCTAGTTTTCACTTATCTATACTTATTAATAACCTTAGTTGATATTGACAAAAATATGTTATGATTACTAAATCTTTAAAACAGTTCACTTATATAGAAAACCTTTAACCTTGTACTAAACTTTCTAGAATCTTTTGTATTGTATTCTTATAGCTAATCCAGTTATGTTATAACTAAAACCAACACTTATAATTAAACTATATCATTAAACTGCAATTTTCTTGTAGAGTTTATTTCAACTCTAGTATTTATTTTATAATATTTTTCTATTATTTTGAAATTCAATTCAAATTTTACAAAGCTCCCAGTTTAGATAGTCTAAAAAGATAAATACAGTTATATCTCTGATTTATATGTTTTTTAACATATAACTTTGTTCTTTATTATCTTTTTAGGATTTTAATGGTCTGACTAGTTATAATGATTTCTTTTTAAAGAACTGCATGTTAACTAGTTTTACAATTTCTAGCTCTGTTTTCTAAGTTTAATCTTTATAATAATACTATCAAAAGTTTAAGTTATCTTTTAGTCAGGTCTTTCAAATAGATTTTCAATTTGGTAATTTTTATGATTTATATAATCAAAAGAAATTATTACAAATTTATACTAAACAGTACCAGTTTGTTTTTCTTTATGCAAAGTACAATTATTGTATAAATGTCATATGACCTTTCAGTCATACTGGTACAACATAATTAATAGATATCTGATTTTAATGAATAGTGAAAAACAATTAACTATAACATAGAAAGAATTTTAAATTTTTATTAATACTAAAATTTGAACTCAAGATCTGCACTTAGAGGTTGACAACATAACTATTTTACTATATTACTATATTCTATTAAAAAAATTTATCTAATATAATATAATTTAAAAAGTATAATAGAATTATTAATAAAGCTTTTACTTTTTTTAAAATATTTTTTAATAATAAGACTTAAAATTTAAATTGAATTATTTAGTAACCATTAGAATTTATTTCTAATTCTTTAAAACTATTATTTTAAATAAAACTTAATTTAGTTAAAATTTAAACTTAGTTTTTTTTTATATTAAAGCAAGGTCTAGCTTAATAATTTTAACTATATACTTTAGTACAAAGTTTTAAAATAAACTAAGTTTGTATACAAAAATATAAATTATATTTAAAAATAAAAACTTGAACTAGTTTATCTATAATCTAAACTAACTATATTAGTTAAGGCTTATTTAGATTTGTAATTTTTAAATATAGTTTAGAATAATATTATATTTAATTTAAAGAATTAATCAGATATTAAGCTTTCTAATTAATTAACTAATTAGTAAATATATAATAGATGTAAATAAAGTTGGTCTGCAATGTTATATAGACATGAATATGTATAAGTTTAATAATAGTTTTAAAAAAGTTATTAAAATTAAATTTAGTTACAAATATCCAAAATTTATTTAATTTTTAGTAATATTAAACCACTTAAATATAATAATAGTAAATATTTTTATTGCTAAAATTAATAAAATTTATCTAATTTTTGAGTGTTTTAATAGTTTTTATTTTTAAAATTATTTGATTTATTTTGCAAATATTTTAAAAATTATGTAATTTATCGCATATATAATATATTATACTCTTTTTATTATTTAAAAATTTTGTCTATAAAGCTATTTTTAAATTTTAATAAAAAAAATTTTCATAAAATTTTTAATATGCTTTATGCTTTTGTTTTACCTTAAACCTTAATACTAAGTCTAATATTAATAAAAATTTATTTTTTGCTTTGATAAAAACTTTGTTATATAAAATTAATAAAAATAACATAATTATATTATTTCTATTTAGTTTAGTTTATGTATATGTTTTTTATAATACAGACTAAGATGTTAAATTTAATTTTTATAATATAAACTAGATGTCATAATCTAATTTTATAATATAGACTAAGATGTTGTGATCCAATTTTTATAATACAAACTAGGTCTTATAATTCAAATTTTATAATACAAACTAATGTGTTATGATATATATTTTATAATATATAGATAGATAGATAGCTTGTATACTTTTAAAAAAGTCAAATTTATAAAAATTGAAGTAATATGCATTTTGCTTTTTATAATACATATATAAAAGATTTATAATTATATATTATTGCAATATAGTTGCATTTAAATAGTTACTTAACAACTGCTAAAATATATGCCATTGTAATATGCATTTTGTATTTTAAGTTACACTTGAATAACATATATTTTCTTTTTATAACATATACTAATATATCATATTTTGTATATCAGATCATATATAACATATTGCATGCTGGTTTGATAACTATAGTTAACTTTTTTATAAATTATATACAAATTACTATATGTTATAACCTGTCTACTAAAAGTATGTTTATAGTTTTAACCTCAAACAAGGTTAAAATTTATATTAATATTTATATATTATAACCTGTAAATTGATTGGCTTAACATATATTTAACAATCTAATTATGATTATGTTATAATTTTTAAAGATAAATAACTAAAGTATATGCTATTAAACATACTATTAAACACAGATCAAAATCAAAAATTAATTCAAATATTATTAAACAATTATTATTAAAATAGAAGAATGATATATTAGTAACTGTTATAAGATAAGAAAAAAAGATGTAAAAGGTAAACTCTTTTCATAAATCATTTATATCAAAAAAATACAAAAAAACATTTAATTATTTCTCAACATTTTACTAAATAAATCTTACTTGATCTCTTACGTAAAGTTGTTTAGCACACTTTTTTACTTCTAGATGGCTATGTTTTAAGTCCCAATAACACTTAATTGCTAAGAAAAGTTCTAAAAACATACTTTTGGTTTTTGTTTATTTATTTAATTCTTTACTAATTAAATCTACTAACTTGTCTATTTAAAAGTATTTAGCTTACTAAGCCAAACATTTTAATATATATTTTATTTAAAACAAACCAAAACTCATAAAGATACAAGCAAAAAGCAAAAACAAAAACTTGTCTTTTACAGGTTTATTCATTGGCAATTTTAGAAAAATTTGCTAAAATGCCTTAGAAATTTCACTTTTCTGATATTCATTAGAATTTTTAAACATTCAATCAGCTTATTTGAAGCTTAAACTTTTTTTTAAACTTTTCTAATTAGTCTAAAAACCCTTAAATTAAACAAATTTTTTTGAAAACATACTGTGATTCTAGAATTGGCAAGTCTGTCACTAAATTAATCTAACTCTTACATAACTTATAGTAGCTAAGACGAATTAGGTATGTTAGATTTGGCTGGGTAGTTTATTTGTAAGTAAGTTTTAATCTTCTCTTTAGGGCTTTCCTTTAATCTGGTCTTCTACTAACTTTTTGTCTTCTCTTTATCTTCTCTTTATACATTAACTTGGAATTACACTATATTAAATCATGGTTGGAACTTCTCTTTTGGTAATGGTCTTGTTACATAACTTGCAATGAGTAATTAACTTGTAAATTTAAGGGTCTATTTGAATAAACAATAAGGGTAACAAAGGGGTTTACAATAATTTATTAGTTTGTATATAGTAGACTTTCACTTGTATTAGAGGTTGGATATTTATTTGTTATTAGAAATTTGTTATTAGGAATTTGTTGTTAGGAATATGAGAATTGCTTCCTTCAAGGCAAAAATGTCTTTTATTTATAATAAACATTTTGTTTAAATTTATAGTTAATTTCTTTTATTAATGCATTAGATTTCTTATATTCTATATCCTAACTAAGTCTAATAAAACACTAATATTTAATTTAACTCATATATAGGCTAAGTCATAGAAGCAATGTAAGTAACATAAGTGACATTTTTGTTATGTTTGTGTAACCTTGGATCAGATTAGGATTGTTACTTCAATTCAGTTACTAATGACCTCCAAAATCAGACTCACAATACTTAGAAATCTACTTTTAAAACAAAAATGCTGATCTTGTTTACAACTATACTAGAAACTATTGATCTTGACTATTTTTACAAAAAGTGTCCTAAAAGCTAAGAATTGGTATTTATGAGAATGCAGCATATATATTATGTTCTATTTCTGCAAACAAACAACCAAATAATTGTATTTGTACTAAACTTAGAGGTAGTATTAAAAGTAGTTACTACTTCAAAGCACTAGAATTAAGTTTTATAATTACTTGTCTTTGTAACAAGTACTACACTTACTTTATATTAACAACTAATTAAACTTATAAACAACATGAAATGATCTCTATCATCCAAAAACCTAAAGATAAAAAAAGTATTACAAATAATATTGCAAACTCTACTAAATTTGTTTTACTATTATCTACAGCATCTTTTTCAACTACTATACACAACTACTCTTGTGCCAAATATAACTTACCTATTGCCTGCAAAGAAATAAACAACCAACATTATTTGACAACTGATGCTATTCTATATAATGACAAACCTTATCATAAAACTTGTATTGAAATCTAACAATATATTCAACAATTAAGCTTCTTTTTAACATTTATTTAAAAACTTCAACAATCAATCAGATTTTATAACTTATTAGTATCTGAACTTATTTTTACAACCTCATCTATAGGAACTACTAGTAACACAAATAACATAGATATAGATAACAACACAATTAACAGCAATAATTAGCAACAACAACAACAGTTACTATATAAATACCAATTATATTTTAATGAATAACAACAACAGCAACAGCTATTAAACAAACAATAACAATTACAAACACAAACAAATACTACTAACAATTAATCTAAAATTATTATTATTTAAAAGAAATAGCAATTAAAATAAAAAAAAAGAAATAGAAAATTCAAACTTACCTATATCTAATAGAAAAACATTACTTAACACTACCCAAGATATAAATCTTCTAAACTTTAATAACCAACTAATTACATCTTACAAATCCAATAATTTAATTAGATATTTAGATATTTTTTTAGACAGAAAAGGATCAACTAAATCTACTTCAAAAAATTTATTAGCAAAGTTTCTCAATTCACTTACATAATTTAATACAAAAACTCCTCACTATACAAATATCTTGACTATTTAATACTATTTTTTTATCATCAATTGAATATTTATTTCAAATCTGCTCTCCTTCACAAAATCAGCTTCAACAATTATCAAGTCTCTTAACAAAATGCTTTAAACATATGCTCTACTTATCTATAAATACAAATAATGATATACTTACTAATTCACAATTACTCAATATCTCTATACTAAATAAACTTATTTTACAAGTCAGTAGTAGCAATATAGAAAGTGTTTCAATACTAATGAACTTTTAAACAAATTACTATATACCAAATCAAGGAATGGCTTTCTAAAATATGAAAGCCATTTCTAACACAAGACACAATTTTAAAAAATTATAGTAAAACTACTAATTTTACTATAATATCCCAATTTTATTACTTATATAAAAACAATATATTTTTTAGCAACTTCTATTTAACTCAACTATCAACTTACAAACAAACTAACCAACTAAACAACTTCAAAAACAAAATCCTTTTTTTTGAACAACTCCTTACAGCTGACAATCTAAATCTACTTTTTTGGAAAAACATATATTTAAGAATCTTCAAATCTTCTTGAGGTTCTATTTCAAGCTGGTTTAAAATATTCTCAAACCAAATATCTACTTCTTCTATAACATGCATATAGCCCAACATTCAACTTTTACTAATAAATCCATTTCTAAATACATTTAATTTGATCACACCTCAATTCGATAATATCAAAAATACATGAACAATTTACATTTTATCTTCAAACTAGCACATAGACAAAATAACAAATAAATCCAATTCATTATTACTCTTTTAAAACTACCAAATTATCAATTCAATATCTAACACAATTTGCATTTCTTTTACATCTACAATGATTCAAACCAACTACAAAAATACTATTAATTTACAATACAAAATATAAAAAAAACAATAATAC